TGACTCGGCATAAAAAACAAACAAACAAACAAACAAAAAACAACAAGGTTGTTTTAAGAGACTCTACTAACGATTTAAAGGTGTGTACGTACAGCTGGGAGTGGCAGCTTTTGCTGGATGTCAGCATGGACTGAGGCGGTAAGCTGAAATCACGCTTACGCTCGCCATCTTGAAACAGCAGTTTAAAACAGCCGCGGTTTTACAGATAAGACACGTGGCCAGAAAAACATAAAGATTTACAGTAAAGTCAGACTTGGATGAAGAAAATCTCTAAAGGTTTACAGTGTGTTTAAAAATATACGTAAGATTGAGAGAGAAAATAAAGAAGCTGGCTGTGGTGGCGCACGCACGCAGGTAGGAATTGCTCCAGAGGCAGAGGCAGGCAGGTTTCCAAAGAGAAACCCTGTCCCAGAGAAAAATAAATTAAAATAAATAGAGTAATAATATATAAATAAATAAGCCACGTAAAGATGGAAAATACACAGAGAGTCTGGATACTGTACGCTATTATGTTTTTCAGTTTTTTCATTGCTAAGGAAGGAACAGCTACTGAAGTACACTTGATTATAAATGCTGCTGAATTAATTCAACTTATATCTTTTGAAAATGCCTTGACCTCAAAATTTAAGTATAAGGATATGTTACTCGGAAAAGGAGTTTTAATTTATGTTTCCACAGAACATAAAAAGCTGAGGATTTCTTCCAGGCTTCTGTGGTTTGACGAACCAAGACCCCCGGAAGCAGTGGACCAGATGTTCCAACAATTGAGACAGCTAAGATGATGGAGCTTTATAGACCCCAAAAATACGGACTTATACAGGTTTCTGAGTTTTGTCATGATCCCCATGGTATGAACAGCGCCCCCTTCCAGCATGAAGCAGTTTGGAATGAGCGACGTCCTAATTCCCATCTTGTTTATAAATCTTTGTTTTCATTTAAATGGGGTTGTTTATAATTGGCTAATGATCACAGCCAATATTTTTAATGGTAAAAAAGGGAATTATGGTATGGGTATTATTTTTCATTTATTGATACAAATTCAAGGTCAATTTTGTGATATGTATATTTCTCCTCTTGATTAAGTATTGTGCTTATACTGATCTTTTAAAATGTAATGCATAATTGAATGCAGACTATAGATAGTTATTTATAATAGAATTTATAGTTAGGTAAGTTAGGTTTTCTAGATATACAGAAATATATTTGAGATAGATAGACAGTCTTCAAACCTCTTAAAGACCTTCAGAAAATGGCATTTAAAATGGTTTAGGGTTTTTCTTGACAATGAGAAATGTCTGCTCCTGGCAGCACCAATTATGTCTGAGAGGAAGATGGGCATCGAAGAAACTCGTTATGGAGTTTACTTTGAACATGGCAAGATTAGCCATTTGGGCAAGAAATGCTCTTGCCTGTACTGCTTAACTGTTGTTGTATATTCTGGACAAGCAGGACCCACAGGAAAGTGACTGCTGAACTCAGTCTTACAGGGTTCCTGCTTCATGGAAGAGTCTAAGAGACTTTCTACAGGACAGAGAAATGACTGACAGACTGCCAATGCAGATGGACAGTTTGAAATTTCCTGCTTTGCTGAGAAATCTTCTGGACACATTGTGGCCTACGGGCTGAAGATGGATGCCCCAACGTTACAGAGGAACTTCGGGTGACTGTCCAGACAGTAAGATGTCTCTGTCAATCCTAGTGTTTATATATTATCCTTCTGTGGTCTTTGATGGAGTTGAAGACAGATAGCTATAATTATAGTTTTCCTTAGTTATGATAAGAGATAAGCTACATATAGAACTTTGGACTCACAGGAATGAGATAGATGATATTTTCTTTAAATCTTGCTAAAATATTGTAACTATGTTCTTACTTGATAACTGTTCTGTTATATACAATTTGACTATGTTAAAGTTAAGACCTTTCTTTTTGTTTAAACAGAAAAGAGGAGATGTTGGGGAAGTCTTATGTCAATAAAGTACTGTTGAGCCTATAGGGAACCAAGATAGGAGGGATTAGGAGTCCAGGAGAACTCTGGGAAGGAGAAACACAAGAGAGTTCAAGATGTAACGCCATTGGGGTAGGAAGCCCGGAAACCTCTCCGGTAAGAGACATACTTAGATTAACAATTATGGGGTAATCACTTAAGTCATAGCTAGCCAGTAAGAAACAAGCAAGGCCAATAGCTTCATAATTAATATAGCCTCCTGTGTGTTTATTTGGGACTGATGCAGATTAGGAACCAGGCGGGCGGGAAGGCTCCTCTCAAGGAAAGCTTCTTTTAACATAACTGCCTATGGAGTTTGTGAGGCCAGGACAGAAACTGCTTTACAGTGTTAAAATCCCTTGCTTTCATCACCCTCCAGTCCCATGTTCCACAGTTACCAGCATGTGGGACCTCAGGCTCTGTAGATTCTGGAGCTCCGTGAGGAAGGGCAGCTTGCTTCTTATCACAGATCCTTTAGCATTCCTGCATGATCTATCTTTCCAAGGTATTTACCATTTCTCCACCATACTTCAGCCTTGTGTATAGGGTGGATGGGCTGGTTACTTTAAATTGTGGGATTGACACAGCCTTCAATCACCTTGGAAGAGAGTCTTCATGAAGAATTATCTACATCATATTGACCTGTGGGACATTGTCTTGGCTGCTGAGGTGGGAAGACTCAGCCCACTGTGGGCAATACCATTCACTATACAGAGGGGGCTCTGACTGTGTAACAGTGAAGAAATCTAGACTCAAGCAGGTGGCAGGGATACACTCATCTTGACTGCAGAGGTGAGGCATTAAGTTCCTGCCTTGACTGCTACCCAAAGGGAGTATAACATGGAATTGAATACAAACAAATTCTTCCTTCCCTAGGTTGCTTTTGGTTAAGGTATTTTATCCCAGCACCAGAAATAAAACTAGGGTAGCAAGGTTATAACTTCCCCTGCTTTTCTTAACTACAGAGTTTTTTCTTGTTATTTGGGAGAAAGTTTCAGGAGTATGGCAAAAATGACTTCATTGCCCCATCTTATACCATAGTTTACACTAAGTACGTATTAAGTCTGTCTTGAGTCTACATCATCTTTTAATCCTGAAGACTCTTATCATTAATAGGACTCTGGTCCACAGAGGTAAGTTCTCACCAATATCAAAGTTGAGAAGTTTCTAAGAAACCAGATCTAATCAATGATAAACCCATGTTCTCTGTCTCTCTGTCTCTATCTCCCTATCTCTGTCTCTGTCTCTCTCGACAGGTTGAGATCAAGGGTGGGTGGTACACTATAGTCATACTAGAAGTAAGATTTCAGGGCTGTGATAGTTTACACTGTCAACTTGCCTTGGAAATAACTCTCGGGACATGTCTTGAAAGAATCTTCAAGAATAAGGTCATTGGAGGGAGGACCAACATTTTATGAGCTGGGTTTGTAGACTGCATAAAAAAAAGAGCAAGCTGGCTAAATACCCACATTCATCACTCTCAGTTTCTGGGCTGCAGACACAACGGAACCAGCAGCCTGATGGCCCTGCGGCCAGGCCTCCCCTGTCATGATGAGCTTCTCCTTCAACTGCAATCAGAAATAAATGCTTTCCTGCTGAAGTTGCTTTGATCTGTCTGACATTTTGTTTCAGAAACCAGGAAGGTAATTAATACAGGGGCAGCCTGTTGACCAAGCATAACAAGAAAAAACAATAGGAGAAGCAGAGACCCAAAGAATAACAGGAACCCCAAATTTAGACCATGGAGAAAGATAAAGGTATTAGTCCTAAGGGAAACTGGAAGAGAAATTACTTTTCCAGAATCCAAAGGAAAAGGTCAGTGAGTCTAGTAACGTCATACTATGAGGTCAAGAGAAATACTTTTTGCGGCTTAAGCCCATCGATGCCTTTCAGACCCTCTGCCTGTCATTGTTCTAGAGTATAGAGTCTAATGTTCTTCAGACCTGGCTTTCACTATAGAATTCAGCTCCCAGGTACCCAGCACTGTGGGGAAAAAGAGGGCAATACAGAGGCAATAGTGGTAGTCCATCTATGTGCATGGAACAGAGAGTGTATCCTGATGTTGACAACCCCTGTTTAATTTCATCACGGTAATAAGCATTAAAAAGATAGCACATGGATTTTACTTCACAGACCAACTCTGGTTGATAGTAACTGCTTGCAGCACCATCAGAATACTGATCCTTCAAATCTGGCCAGCCTCAAGGGCATGAAATCCTACAGTTGATTAGCGATGTCTGCCCATGGATGTAGACCTAGAGAACCAATTCATGTTGTCTCCTATTTCCATAGTGCATTCTCCATAAACGTTACTGGGAGTCTCTCACTATTATCATTCACATTGTTTGCCAGAGTTGGACAAGACACAGTCAAGGACAGTGTCATTAGGTGCATTGTTGACACTGACCTCCAGGATGGCACCAGTGCATCATTGTTGAATAGAGTTTGTCACATTTTAGATTGATTTTTGTTCCATGTATTTGAGTATGCGAGTGTGTGTGTGTGTGTGTGTGTGTGTGTGTGTGTGTGTGTGTGTGTGTGTGTGTGTGTGTACACATGCATGGGTATCAGAGGACAACTTCTAGGAGTCAGTTCTCTCTTTCTATTAACTGGGTCCCAGGGATCGAACTTGGATCATCAGGCTTGAAAACAAGTGCCTTGACTTGCTGAACCATCTTATCAGCCCTTAAGATTCATTTTGAAATTATGTCCTGTGCCAATGCATGTCCAAGAGAGACTTGTTGTAAATTGCTGTAAAATTTCTATCTGGGACAGGCCACAGGGGAGAATATTCCTTGTACAATGCCCGTTGTAGGGATGAGAATCTGGGGTGTTGGGAAAGAGGTAAATCACAGGAGGAAAGAGATAAGTGCTCAAGATATTGACTCCTAAGCTTCCACATATAGATACCAACACTCCCAAGACCTCAAAGAAGCACTGAGACTCATGGGAGGAAAATGAGCAGTGCAGCTTTCATAAATCACAGCCAAGTAAATGAACAGGCACACGCATGTTCAAGCAGCTCATAGTTTTATCATAAAATATAAACGTTCTAAATTAAGTGTCTTACTTTCTATCTTACCAACAACAACAAAAACAAAAACCAGTCATGTTAGCTAAATACAGGTGCCTGTGTGGTCTTCCGAATAGGAGGGTGCGTCTGCGGTGTGTGCTACTCGAGAGGGGGGCTAGGCAGGTGAGTGTTGGTCAGTAGATGAGTCTGGTCTTGCTGTTTTCTGTCGGCCACCTGGTTGGAACCTTGGCTTTCCAAACTTCACACCAAGCTGTTGCAGAATCCAGAATTCCAGAACCTTTAGCCCTGATCCAAGGGCAAAGAGAGGTGGGGAGAGAGAAAGAAGTCTAAAAGCGTATTCCATTCCCACTGGAGGAAAAATAGGGGCTGTTCATCAGGGGGCCGCTGGACGCCGAGTTGAACCTGGAGGAGAGGGGAGATAGATGCAGTGACGACGTCTCTGGTGTGCCTGGAGAGACTGGAAAAAATAATCTATTGATTTTGTGGCTGTCAAAGGTTGGGAAGCTGGGATGAGCTTGGAGGCTAAAAGCTTTAGCATCCTACAAGGCTTTGGCTCTGAGCAAGTCAAACACAAATGACACAGTTCAAGCACAACGAAAAGCTGTGTCCCTTGCTATGTTGGTGCAGGGCACTGCTGGGAGCATGGAAGGATGAAGTCTAGAGTCCACGCTGTAACCATGAAGGGGCCACAAAGAGTGAAGCTACCTGGGCCTGAGCCCCTCACCTGTAGGTTTGTGAGCATCTGTCTGTCTTAGGGAAGCAAATGTATTAGGGAAGTCCACAACATGGCAGAAAACAGAGCCTGTCCTGGCACTTGAGCTCAGAGTCCTGACAGCACCAGTGCAATTTCCCCCACAATGGCTCCCCCCTCAGCCCCTTTATCTCAACACTCCCCAGAGAGGTGACACTGAGACCCCACTGTGAGTGCCTGGCATGCTGCTCAACACTCAAGGAAGGAAGAGCAGAGATCCACCTACCTCTCAGATTTCTTTACCACCACACTCTATGCATTCTTCCAAATAGAGTTCAAAGGCCATCTCCTCTGTGGAGCTTCCCCTGACTTCTTCAGGCGGGACTGACTTGCAGACTTCTGGGATCTGACTGCAATGACCTCACCTACCTCCTATCATACTTGGAAGGGACATAGAGCTAAATCAAATTGCCTCAGAGCAAACAGCTAGATTTAGTCTAATCCAGGGATTCTCAGCCACTTTTTAGCTGGGCAGATGCATATTACAAGAGAGAGTCACCTTCAAGACACTCTCCCATAAAATGGAGAGGCAACAAAGTGGGAGGGTTAGTGGGGAGGAGGCGATGATGGAAGCAGGCCATGGTGTGGGTGTAACGGCCTCAGCTGCTTACATCATCTGTGGCTCCCTAGTTGCAACAGTCCATGGATCAGCTAAGATTTAGGTACTATTTCATTTCCTTCTCTCGAAGATAAGTTCCAGGACAGCAGTGATAGTACCTGGTTGTTCACTACTCTGTGCTCAGCACCCAACACAGGACCGGCCAGCATTTCCCTAATAGGTAGATTGCCTACAGGAAACACATCTCTTTTTCTCTTTTAAAACCTGTACTAATAATACACAAAATATATAAAGAACTCAAGAAACGAGACACTAAAATATCAAATAATTCCAGCTTTAAAACTGGGGTATAGATTTAAACAGAGAATCCTCAACAGAAGAATCTTGAGTGGCTGAGATACACTTAGAGAAGTCATCAACATCCTTAGCTATCAGGGAAATGAAACTCAAAATGCCTAGGTGATACCATCTTACACCTGTCAGAATGGTGGGCCAAGATCAAAAAAAACACTAATGGCAGCCTATGTTGGAGAAGATTGGTAAGGGGAATACTCCTCCATTGCTGGTGGGAGTGCAAACTTGTACATTTACTTTGGAAATCAGTATGGTGGCTTTTCAGGAAATTGGGAATCAATTTACCTCAAGACCCAGAACTATTACTCTTGAGCATATACCCAAAGGATGCTCAACCATACCACAAGAACACTTGTTCAACTATGCTTATAGCAACATTATTCATAATAGCCAGAACCTGGAAACAACCTAGAAGTCCCCTCAATCAAAGAATGGATAATGAAATGGGGTATATCTACACCATGGAGTATTACTCAGTGGAGAAAAAAAAATGACATCATGAAATTTGCAGACAAATTGATGAAACTAGAAAAAAATCATTCTGAGTGATGTAACCCAGACCCAGAAAGGCAAACACGGTATGTATTCACTCATAACTGAGTATTAAATGTAAAGCAAAGGATAACCAGCCTACGATCCTCAGCTCCAGAGAAGCTAGGTAACAAAAAGGACCCTAAGAGGGATAGATGGATCTCTCTGGGAAGAGGAAGTAGATGGGATGTCCTTGGTAAACTGGGGTGGGGGGGAGGGGTAGGAGAGTAGAGGGGAGGGAATAGGGGCGTGGAAATGAGAGATCATGATGGGGAAAAGTGGGAGGAGAGAGCTTGATAGACAGGGCAATTGTGGGGTTAGGGAGAAACCTGGTGCCAGGGAGGCTTCCAGCAACCCATAAGGATGACCCCAGCCAAGACTCCTACCAATAGTGGAGAGGATATCTGGCCTGGCCTTCCCCTGTAATCAGATTGGGTGACTGTCCTAGAGCCTTCATCCAGTACCTGATGGAAGTGATGCAGAAATCCACAGCCAGGCACTGGGCGGAGCTCGGGGAGTTCAGTTGACGAGAGGGTGAGCAAGATCGTGATGGGGAAACCCAGAGATGACTGACCTGAGCTTGTGGGAGCTCATGGACTCTGAACAGACCCTTAGGGAGATAGCATGGGACCGACCTAGGCCTTCTGCATCTGGGTGACAATTGTGCAGCTTGGTCTTTTGTGGGGCCCCTAGCAGGACCTGTTCCTGATGTATGATCTGGCTCTTTGGAACCTATTCCCTATGGTGGGATGCCTTGTTCAGCTTTGATGCAGGGGGGTGGGGGAGCTTGGTCCTACCTCAACTTGATGTGCCATGCTTTTCTAATTCCCATGGGAAGCCTTATCCTATCCGAGTGGAGATGGAGAAGTGGAAGAGAGGTGTAGAAGGGAGGTGAGGAAGGATTTGGAAGAGAGGGAGGGAAAACCATGGTTGGTATGTAAAATAAACTAAAAATGAGAAAAAATGCCAGCCCAGTGAGATGGCTCTGTGGGTATGGGCACTTGCTGCGTCAACTTAAGTTTGATCACGGAGACCTTCAAGATGGCTGGAGCAAACCAACTTCCACAATTTGTCTTTGGCTTCCACATACATTAGACATCACACACACACCCTCTCCGCACACACACACAAGTAATATAATTTTAAAATGTTAAGGATAAAGCGGGCTGCTAACAGCAGGAGATCAGAGAGGGAAAGCAATGGAACCTTCCAGATGTTTGAGCCATAGATGAGCTTGTAGCTCATTTTATTTTTAACCCTTTATGCTCCTGACTTAACGAGGTCTATGCACTGTACCTACTTCCCGTGTCTCTTGTATCTTCTACTTTCTCAGGAACTGTATTTTCTAATAAATGAAGTCAGAGGGGAAAAAACACACTGAAGGGCCTGGAGAGATGGCTCGGCTGTTAAAGCATTGGCTGCTCTTCCAGAGGATGCAGGTTCGACTCTCAGCACCTACATGATGGCTCACAGTCATCTAGACCTCCAGTCCCCGAGGATCTAGTACCTTCTTCTTACATTACTGGGCACTGCACACACATGGTACACAGACATATATGTAGCCAAAATATACATACCCATAAAATGAAAAACAAAATAAAAAAATCCATTCTGGATTATAAATGATTGAAAGCAATGGTAGCCTGGTGTGTGCCTGTTGTCCCAGCACTTGGGAAGAGGACACAGTATCACAAATTTGAGGCTAATTCAGTCTCACTAGACCCTGTCTCATAGAAACATAGGCTGAGGTGTACCTCCGTGGCAGAGTGTTTGCCTAGCATGTGGAAGGCCCTGTGTTTAATTCCAAGCACTGGAAGGAAAGAAGTGATGTTAATATAAGAGGCCCTGGATTTTGATTTGATTTATAAAATAAAAGCTGAAACAGTAACAATGACTATTGGTAACCAATTAGCCAGGTTGTCTCTTATATCTGGTCATTGTACCCCATGTCCCTCACTTTTCTGGGTAGATCACTTATAATCAGATCAACTGCCAAGGGTCTAGACAGCAGAACACTAGAGGGTCAGGAGGAGAAGCAGTATGTATGGACTAAAACTACCAAGGAATGCTTCCTGGAGGAGAGGGAGGAGGAGCTACACCAGCTCCTAGCAGTGGTCCTCAACCTTCTTAGCACTGCCATCCTTTAATATAGTTCCTCATGTTATGGTGACTCCCAGTCATAAGATTATTTTCATTTCTGCATCATAACTGCAATATTGCTACTGATATGAGCCATAATATAAATGTCTGTGCTTTCTGATGGTCTTAGGAGACGCCTGTGAAAGAGTCCTTTGACCCTCAAAGAGATTGTGACCCACAAGTTGAGAACTATTATCCTAGAGTGAGGCAAGCATGGGTCCTGATTGACCCAGGGCAGCTTATATAATACTGTTTCCAGAGCAAGTATTACTCATGCCCCAGGAAACGCTCCAACTTATTTGATTGCTTGGAGGATACATTGTGTGGTCATCACTCCTGATGGGGTATGCAAATCAGCTGGGCAGAGGGACCAAGGGCTTTCCTCCTGCTCTTCTGAGAACTTGAGACTCTGGCTCCTGTCTGTCCCACTGCAACCCCTCCCACTTCTCCCTTCCTCTGCTTCTGATGACCTTGCCTGTCCTCCAGACCAAACTAGCCACCGGTGGCCATGCATGCATCTTCCCCTGCCTGACACAGCTCACCAGGTCGTGTCCAATCAGCTTCATAGCTTCCTCAGCAACTACACTACCCAGAGGTCCCCATGTTGGCTCCCATAGTACCCAGCTCCCATTTCCCCACTCGGATCCCAGCTCCCATGTGTTCTTCTGCAGATCACTTCCTGCATATGACTTCCACACCTGACTCCCTCATGGTACACACACACACACACACACACACACACACAGATATACACACATAGACACACACACACACACACACACACATAAACACATAGACACACACACTAGAAGTTGCTTCTTAGCCCCTTTCCTGGCCCCTTTGCCCCTTCCAGCCCCTCCACCTGCTGGAGGCTCCAGCATTAGGTTCATGCATCCCCTCCACGCATGTGCACTCCCTCGTGACTCATCTTGCTCCATGCCTTCATCTGTCTTCGATATTCTAATGGCCCCTAAATTCATTGCCCCAACCTTGCCCCCAAGCTCCAGGCTCCTGTCTACCAATAGTTCCACTCATCTGTCTGTGATGATCTGAATTATAAATGCCTCCACCCATATTTTCGGGTATCTGAACACTCAGTCCCTAGCTGGTAGCATTGTTTGGGGATGTTTAAGAGGTGCTGTCTCCTGAAGGAACTATTTTACTGAGGGGCAGGCTTTGAGAGTGTAAGACCTCTCAACATCTTGCTTGTTCTCTCTGACTCGTGCTGTGGTTATAAACGTGAGCTCTCAGCTTCCTGTTCCTGCATCCGTGCCTGCTGCCTGCTGTCATGCCTCCCCTCCGAGATGGACTTGTGTCCCTCTGGAACCATAAGGCCAAATTATCTCTTCCTTCTATAGTTGCTCCTGGCCATGATGCTTTATCACTGTGAGAGAAAGTGACTAACATTGACTAGCAAGTTCAGTATCCAAGACTGAACCCTTGATCAACAGCCTCGCGCTAGCCATTGCAACTTAAGCATTTGCCACTGTCACTCATCAAGCGCACAGCACAGAAACCTAGGACTTGTGCTTGCCCGCAAGCCAGTCTGCCCTCGTCCCTTGTCCTCATTCTGTATGCAACTGTGATCAAGCCCCACTGGTTCTGCCAAGAAAATGAACATCCTAGATAGGTTCACATGTCCCTTTTCTCCCAGGAGCCACCCTCCTCCATGCCATCAGCATCTGTTAGATGCAGCATTGAGGACCTCAGGCTTGACCCCTGCGTCAGCCCTCACTCCCATTGCCCTTCCTTCATACCACGGTCTGCTCTACACAGGAAACGAGAGCATGCTCTTCCCCAGTTCAAAGGTCTCAATGAAATCCTGCTGCTCTCAAAACATGGCTGACCAGTCCAGACCTGCCCAGCCCTGGCTGATCTCTGACTCCTACTCCACCACTCTCACCATCCCATCATACTCAGTCACTCAGAGGCCTTTGCATTCATAATCCTTCTGAGTGGACTGCTTGTCTCTCTCTCTCTCTCTCTCTCACACACACACACACACACACGAATATGGTTCAGAAAGACTTCCTGGCCAGGCATGGTGGTTCATGACTTACTCCCAGTACACATACTGTGTGTGGGAGACAGGATGATGGCTATGAATTCAAGGCCAGCACAGTGAGACCTTGCTTAAGGAAGGAGGACGAGAAGAAGCCACCTCCTCCTCTGGGCCTCTGCTGACATGTTTGCATCTTATTCCCTGCCCCCCCCACACACAGTGAGATTTGTGAGAGTAGAGAACATTTTGCATGTCTTGTTCACTCCGGTTCACATTGCCTTGGACAGTGCCAGGCACTAGAATGGCTCTAGCCAGTTTTTTGTTTTGTTTGAGACAGGATCTCACCATGTAGCCCAGGCTGGATCAAAATGTAGATCTTCCTGATTCATTTCCCAAGTGTTGGGATTGCAGCTATGTGCCACAAGTCTAGAAATCAATCAATCAGACTTGTATATGTGTGTGTGTGTGTGTGTGTGTGTGTGTGTACGCACGTACTACATGCTTGTGTAGACTAGAAGTTAACCGTGGGAGTCCTTCTTCAGGGGCTCTCTACCATGGTTTTAGAGATTCTCTTACTGGGACTGGTGATCATAAATCAGATTAAGCTAGCTAGCCAGTGAGCTCCAGGGATCCACCCGTCTCTCCTTGCACAGCACTGGGATCACAAGTGTATACCACCATGCCCAGCTCCCTATGCAAAGTCTGGGGATCAGCATCATGTCTGCATGCTTGCATACTGAGTTCTTATTGACTGAGTCATCTCCCAGCTTCCATCAGTTGTTTGTTTGTTTGTTTTTTGACAAATGAACAAACCATCCTCTGTAGAGATCCAGGATGGCACCTGTTTCTGGCCCCATCCTTCTGGTTTTCCTAGCTTCCTGAGGCATCATTTATCCCCACTCACCACTCACCACTCACCACTCGATCTTCTTTGTCTCCAATGTTTCCCACTCTTCTTAGTCCTGTGCCTACTTCTTGGGCTGCCCCTTCCTGTCCCTCTCGCCCCATCCCCTGTCTCCCCAATGACACAGGGAACCTGGCCTCTGCCCTTTGTGCTTACAATGCCCCTGGCTCTCTGAATAGCAAGCTTTCCAGTTTGTCCCTATGAAGAATCCCAAGGTGGTAACACAGGGGTGACTGCCAGCTGAGGGAGGATGGTTCTTTGCATCCCTCAGCAGCCTCATTCACCCTCACCTCCACCAAGGTGACAGATAATCTCTTGTTGAGACCTCCAGACTACACCTTGCCTCCTGTTCTCTCCCCTAGGCCTCTGTGTTCACTCTCATGTGCACAGGCCTTTATTAGATCCTCAGGCCTTGCAGTCAAAAGTCTTTAATAATCCAATCCCAACCTCCCTTTCCAATCTGTTTCCCACTTTTTCCAGGGACAAGTCTAATAGTTCAAACCATACACACCTCTGTTCCCAGGCCTCTAGTTTGTCTTACACCTTCTGGGCTTGGGGAATAGTTCAGCAGCAGTTACTTGCCTAGCATAAGTAAGGATCTGGGTTCAGTTCCTGGCACCTCAAACTCAGGCGCTCAAAGTGGCATTTAAACGATTACCTTGCCCTTTCTCACTGCAGGGCTTGACTCCCCTGCCTAGATTGCCTCTCTAGACACTCACTAGGGTTCCCCCTCAGAGGTCTTGCCTCTGGCCTGGGGCCACCTCATCCTCACTTTACCAGAGTATGCCATCCAATCCTGTCAGTCCTCATTTTTTCTTTATGTAGATGTATGTGTGTTTGCGTAGGTTTATGTATGTCACATGTGGGGGGTATCTGCAGAGGTTAGAAGAGGGTATCGGATCCCCTGGAACTAGAGTTACAGGTGATTGTGAGCTGCTGGATGATGAGTGCTGGGAACCAAATCTGGGTCTTCTGCAAGAACAGTAAGTTGGGTCATGTCTCTAGCCCCAGGCCTCTGCATTTGAAGGGAAGAAGTGTGAGTTCTATGAGTTCCCTGTAGGCTAAGTTCACATTAACTCCGTGAATTAACATAGCACATTTCAGTGCGTGTGATTATGGTGGTGGGGGTTCTACATATCATGCTGTGTTCTATAAAATAAGAGGGAGGGAAGGAGGGGGAATTGGGGGGAGAAAAAGAGGAGGAAGTAGAGAAGAAAGGAAAGATATAAAATGAAGTCATGGATATCATATTCAAATGCCACCATTGTCTGCCTCTTGAATATTCTCCGAGCACCCCAGGCAATTAAATGATCTGAGAGTTCCAACTGTTAAGAAATCTGCTTGTCTTTGTTTCTCACAGTTTTCCCCAAACAGATCTGACTATCAAAACCTCTTTGAAACATCGATCTCTTTTCACAAGATATTAGGGGAAATGCAAGAACCAAAGGGTGAGAGTCTGGGGTCATGCAGAAAGGGTGTCTGCTGGGCAGAGTGGGGAGGGCAGGAATCAATGTCACCTAGAAGAGTTTCTTCCTAACCTAGAACCTGAGTTTTTCCAAGTGAGATACACATGCCCCGTGATCTGCCTAGGATTCTGAGGTCCACAGGTGTAGAATGGTGCCTTCTGCCTTGGATCACTAATATTAGCTGAGGGTTTGGCTTATTGGAGTGAGTAGCTACTTGTTAATTATGTTAAAACAAACACAATTTTGGTACTCCACACCATACATAATCCAAGAGGAATTTTTATCCTAACTGCCAAGTTTGTGTTGGGAGTTTGCAGCTGAGCCCCTCACACAAACCCCGGAAATGCCAGACTTTTTTTTACAGATTGGGAAAGCTTCAGTGGATGAGCTGTGGGAGACACTTCACCAGAACCCAGCAGAACTCTGGGGGATACTTGAAACTTTAACCTAGCAAGGACTCCAGATGCATCAGGAAGTGTATAGGAGTTATATACAAATTAGCTAACCACATTCTTTGCGAATCATCCTATGATAATGACAGGGCATCATGAGCCACTTGCAGCATCCATGCAATGTACAGAGTCTACTTGCTTCTGATTGGGCAGCTGCAGTTCTACAGCCAACCTGTAGGTGGCAGTCTGCAAAGTGCCTTCAAAAGGCTCCTCCTAGATCCCAGCCCAGGCTCACCGCCATAGGTGTTCCCTCCAAGTCCTCAGAAACACTGGGCACAGATACAAGGACACGCCCCCCCACCCCGCCAACCCTCATGGGGCACATACACCAAGAAAGGTTCTATGAAGCCCACCCCATTCACCTGCCATCTCTGACAACCATCTAGATACAGGTCAGCTCCCCACCCACACCATGGCTGAAGACTCACCCATATCCCTGGGGGAAGAGGTATGGAGGCCCATCTCCTGCCATCGGGGTAGGATCTCGGGGATTGGCGGGAAGCTTCTGGGGGGTCCTCTGAGGATATGGATAGTTGGGCTGGACCAAGGGGATGTAACTCATCAAGGGGGTGTAGGAGGAGCGGAAAATTTGCTGTCCCATCTGCTGTGGGTTGTACGGTGTCACCTGCAGGGCAGAGAGAAGAAAGGGACAAGCTCAACATCCCCCAGCGCTGACCCTAACCCCGGCCTCTACCTGCGTGCCCCTTATTTGCCTTATGTGTCTGAGCCTCAAGCTCCTAATCTATAAAATGGGCAAACACTGTGTGGGGAGGGTCTAGCTACTAGAATTCCCATTACTGGCTTCTACTTTCAGATTTCAACAGACTGTGAGCCCTAGACAACCTCACCCAGAGGAAACCCCTGCCAGGGAAGAATGGGTCTGTGCTGTGAGGATCACTGCATAACCTCCAGCTATGATTATCAAGCACTTGAAATCCAGCTGGGGCGAAAAAAGAGCTAAAGTCTGGATGTTATTGAATTGGGATTCCTGTAAATGGCCACACGTGGCTAGTGGCAACAGTATTGGGTAATACAGAAGAAAGTGAAAGGGGGGGTGGGGAACGATGGGAATCCAGTGGGATTTCTGCTGCGTACCTGGGCAAATGCCAGCTGAGAACTGGGGCTCCCACCTCCTTACCACCAACAAGCAAGGCAACACCCATCTTATTCACTGCTACTGCTCCAGCCCTGAGACAGCAGAGTGAATGCAGTAAGAGGGGCCAGGGAAGAGGCAGGGAGAAGGGGGAGCACTACGCATCTGTTGGCATGATTGGGAGCACTCATGGAGAGCAACAGGTACCGTTACTGACAGCCTGTACAATGGAAGGCCCTTCCTCACATGGATCCTCCTGTATGCTGAGGGAAGTTTTTGTCAAAGCTGGGAAAGATTCTGAATCTCCACCATAGAAGCCACAACACTCAAGAGACTCCATTCTCCCTGCCTGTTCATGTCTAAGACAAACCCACTTGGTGGGCGCTGGTGGATCATGCCTTTAATCCCAGAATTTGGGAGGCAGAGATAGGTGGGTGGGGCTCTGAGTTTGAGGACAGTCTGGTCTCTACAGAGTGAGTTCCAGGACACCCAGAGCTGTTATACAGAGAAATCCTGTCTCAATAAACAAACAAATAAACAAACCCACTTGGGCTAGTATGTATGAAACCCTCTGGCTGTGGGAAACCCTTCCTCTCGCCTCTGTCACTATATCTCCAAACCCTGTGAGACCAGACACTGATCTTACCCTGACTGTCAGTTTCATGGGAATTTAGAATTATCTAGGGTGTACTGTGAGGATGTTCCCAGAGAAATTTAACTGAGGATGGAAGACCTAACCTAAACGTGAGCAACTTCAGCCCTAGAGGTTGGGGTTTTAGAATGAATGAAAAGAAAGAAAAGGCCACTTGAACACCAGCCTTCAACACTCTTTGATTCCTAAGGGTACAATGTGACCTCATGTTCGTGAGGCCATGTCTTCTAACCATAATTGGCTGTACTCTCAAAGTGGGCAGAAAAATTAAAATAAAACTTCCTTAAGTTGTTTTTGTCAATTCTCTTATCATGACGATGATCAAAATAACAGGCCCTAATTACTCCCATTTGAGAGGCAAAAATGTTGAGGCACAGAGAAGTAAATAGCTTAGCAATGTCCCCAATCCTGAATTGTACCCAGAACTCCCAAGCACAGCCCAGAGCTTGGGTTCTGTTTCAGCCTTACTATGCTGTGCACTCTCTGAAACCTGAGCCCCTCCCCCAATCTTTGCTATGCTACTCACAGAGGATGCAGGACCCAGACACTGAATGTGGATACTGAAACCCTTAAAAGGACAACTATCCCACTAGTTCATAGAGAGGACAGAGAAGGACATCTCCTGTAGGGACCACAGAGTCCCTGGTTTCCACAATGGGAAGTGTCTGGTCCCAACAGAGACTAGAATGAAAGGGAAGAGTGATGGGAGATGTCATTCTGTAAATCTGTCTCTTATTGGTTGTTGAATGAAGCACCATTGGCCAATAGGGAAGCAAGATAGGTGGGACTAGGAGTCAAAGAGGATTCTGGGAAAGAGAGGCAGAGAGAGACACCATGTAGAACACCAGAATAAGAGGTCAGGACCCTTTTCTCCAGTAAGAGAAATACTTATATTAACAATTATGGGTTAAATACTTAAGTCAGAGATAGCCAGTTAGAAACCAAGCAAACGGCCAACAGCTTTATAATTAATATAATGTTCTGTGTGTTATTTGGGGGTTCAGACAGTGTGGCAGGGCCCAGGTGACTGGTGGGTAAAACTACACTCTACAAGTGAGTCCTAGAGCTCACGCCAGCCTAGTCCAGGGATATGCCCATGATTCCATGGGGCTGATCAAAGCCATCACATGCAGCTTTCTATGTTGCTTTGGAAACCACCTCCAAATATACTCATCTATGACAAAAAGCATAGAACACTATGCCCAGGATGAGGCACTTGGTCATAAATACTTATATAACTAGATGTCCCTACAAGGATATGACAGACACCAATAAATAGCAGTGACCTCTATCTTAAAAGTTCCTACCATGTTTTACACTACATCCTTCAAGTATATACACACTCATAATCACCTAAAAAGACTCTTTGAGCCAGGAGGGGGTGCTTCTGTTTGTACATGGAGGTGATGGGAGTGGGATTCCTGAGACAGGCTCTCTTATTTGGGTTAGGATGGAGAAGGCTCTTATCCCTGAAGAAGCATCCTGCCCAACGTAGTTTTCACCTTGGGCCCATCTCTACCCTCCAGAACATACCAGTATTAGGTAAGCTCAGAGAAGAGGTTTTCAGAGAAAGGGTGGAACTACCTGCGAGGGAGCAAGGTAGAAGAATCTGGAATTGAAGGTATGGATTGTTCATGGATCTGTGTATGAGGTGCCAGTTCACTTGGAAATGTGGAATACTTGTCTTCAGCCCCCTCTATGTCCCCACTAAATGATTTTGCCCAGAGCTTGCTTCCATGTCTGTCAATGTATATGTGTGAGCATGAATGCCAGCTCAAGCAGCTTGGGAGCTTGAGAATTGTGTGTGTGTGTGTGTGTGTGTGTGTGTGTGTGTGTGTGTGTGTGTGTACAGGTACATACACCACAGTGCACACATGGAGGTCAGAAGACAACCTTGGGTGTCAGTCCTAACCTTTTACCTTGTTATGAAGCAGTGTCTCTTATTCACTGCTATATATGCCAGACCAGCTGATCCACGACCTTTTGGGGTTCTCTTGTTTGCATCTCCCACCTTGCCATAGGTACACTGGGATCACAGATACACACTAATTGAATCTAGCTTTCCATGGCTTCTTGGGGTCCAAACTCCATTCCTCATGTTTGGAAAGCAAGCCCTTTATCCACTGAAACATCTCCCCAGCCTACTATTTCTCTCTGCTTCTCTCTATGTAGGTCTGGTACTATCTCTGCTGCCTTATTGTACAAGAGGTGTCCAGCATGGTGGCCAAGAATATAGGCTGCTTCTGAGTTAATATCTATGAGGCAATTAATTGTACCTGAAGTACTTGTGTAATTCATACTGCCACATTCAGCAAATAAAACTACAGGACACCAGTTGAATCCAAACTGGAAATAAACTGTGAGTGTATTTTTAACATTAACATGTCTTGTGCAATATTTAAGATTTACTTACACTAAAAGTATATACATTATTTATTTGAATTTCAAACCAAACTGAGTATCTTGTATGGGAACTAGCCAGTCCACACAGTATGAAGATGACTGTTGCCCCCTATATGCTGGGCAGAGCCGTGGGGTTAACTTTGGCCGACTGAAAGTGTGTGGACATCACCATGCACAGAGCTGAGGCTTCTGGAAGCACTGTGAGTTTCCTCTGTCAGTCAATGGGAGAAAAGCAACGGCTCCTGCATCCTCAGCTCAGATGCCAAAAGAGAAAAGATAATAGTTCTGACTCTGATCCACAGCCCAGTTCAGCCAATGAGCAAGAACTAAAAACTCCTGGAAAGTCTCTGAGTCATGAAGCTACTTGTCACAGCAAACCCAAACTTACGTGTCAGTGTTTTGGTCTAATCTTTTTGTGCCTCAGTTTCCCCATCAGTAGCATGCATTCTAAGGTGCTTGAGAAGGTTAAATTAGTGTAGGAGAAGCCTTAGGGAAAGGCCTGATATTATCATGTAATAAAGACTCTTTTAAGTGACATCTGGTATCATCATGTGACAAGTTAGTGATGGTCCAGAAAATAATGGTAATGACCAACAGGCAAGAATGAAGGCGCAAATAGCTTTGGGACCTAAAGACCTTATGAAGCCAGGGCATAGAAGGGGAAGCCATCTCACCTGTCGGGAGTAGCACCCCATCGGGGGGTGCACAGGCTGCTGGTAGGGCATCCTTGTTGACCGCTGTGGATACAGGCCCTAAGGAGAAAGAGAGAGGTTCCTGATGCTACCTGATCCTAGGCGAGAGTCCCTAGCCTGAGAACAAAGCTGTTAGGCATCCTACTCACAGGCCTAGATCTGCATCCTAGGTTGACCTTCTCCCATCCCCCACGAAGTTGCCTAGAGCTGACTGGATCCCGCTGGGGCCATCACAGCTCAGGCCTCCTGGGAAACCCTTTTTAAGTGACTCCAAAGCCTAATTGAGTGTTTAGGGATGTTTAGGAAGGAGGGCCAAAGACTGACACTTTCAGAGGCTGACCTGTGTCCCTAAGAAAGCTACTCCACCTCTCTGAGAGCCTTGCCAGGCCAGGCCTGTGAAACCTGTGGGAATGACACATTATCATTGTTGCTATTTGCATACACATCTGTGGAGACCAGAGGTGAACTTCCTGTGTCATTTCTCAGATACTGCCCACCTTGGTGTCTGTTTGTTTGTTTGGTTGGGGTTTTTTTTTGTTTGGTTGGTTTTTTTGTTTGTTTGTGTGTTTTATCAAGTCTCTCACTGGCCTGAGGCTTACCAAGTAGACTATGTCAACTAGCAGGTAAATCCCAAAGATCCTCCTGTCTCTGCCTCCCCAGTGCTAAGACTGCAGCTCCCATCACCATGCCCAGGGCTTTTATTTGAATTCTGCTGGGTCAAACCCAGGGCCTCAAGCTTGTAAGGCAGTCACTTTAAGAACCAGGCTGTCTCTCAGCCATCATGGGCCTCTTCTACCTTTCCCTAAGCCAATTCTCACCTAAGATGTGAGATGTCCTATATAACTGGGCCCCAGCATTAATAAATCCATGTTCAAGTATATCTACATGTGTATGGGACCTGGACCTAGCCAGCTGTGATTCTGTGTACAGATGCGCAGCTATGCCCCCTCCCCCACAAGCTTGTTTGGGTTTCTGCTAGGAGCCTGTGTGTATCTGTTGCATGTGGTGAGGGTAAGCAGGAGGATAAATAAAGAAATGCCAGTAAAGAGCTGAGAAAGCACCTGGGCACACAGTAAGGACTCTGTAAATGTTAGGGCTGTCGGTCATCCCCCACTGGCCCCTCCCTCTAGGATTGCTGGCAGCTTAGCCTGATGGGGTGGGAAGTTGATTTACAGCTCTGCCTAAGGTTGGGCCTGGGATATCCATGTGTTCATTCAGACACAAAACACACATACCTAGCAGAAATGTTTCAAAGGGTAGACCAAGCCATGACCCCTCCAACTGTCCACTCAGTCATTACCTACATCACAAGGGTACCCAACCCTAGCCCTGCAGGTCCCCATATGGGGGCCAGAATGGCTATGGATGCAGCCTACCATGAAATTGTAAGCTTACTTAAAACATTATCATAAGATGGTTTCGCGACTATTTTGTAACTTGATAGAATGAGTCTAGGGCATAGACGTCATAGATGACAATGTCTTGTCACAATGTCATATAAAGGAATTCCTGGGCCATGGGCTATACACCCTATATTTAATGTGTGGTTCTAGGCAACTCATCTTCATCCAGTGTGGCCCGGAGAAGCTGAAAAGCTGGGTACTCAGCACCTAGCATGATGCTCAAAGCCCAGGGCACCTTTCCAGAACATTCTTCATTCTGGAGTGCTGCCTCTCTTCTGGCTTTGTGGTAGACACCATGCTCCTGGTGATATCCTCAGATCTTCATGAAGGGCTCCAGGATCTCTGACATGGCATACCTCAGAAGCCTACCAGCTCTTCCTGTCCCAGCTTCCAGGTCTCTGAGACTCGCACATCCTATAGCAGAGACCCCCCTACCCTTCCTCTGTCACTAAGCAGTGACACGTGAGACCTTCCTGCCTTGGCCCCTCCCACTTACGCCAGTCCTTGCTTGAAGCCTGTCTCTCTACCACAGCTGATGCCCTGTTGCCTAAAATTCTACAACCAGGTCAGCCTCACTCATCATCATGACCCAGCACAGTCCCCATCTCCCCACCGTGGAATGAACCTGGCCAGAGAAATCCTACCAAAGGGATGACCTTGCTCATTCCAGACCCTTGGTGAGCTGCAAGGCCTCCGGCCAGGTGGCTAAGGGCCCCTCTGCTGCTGTTTGATTTCAACTCCATTAACAAGCTCAATCACCACACGCCTCTTCCAGGACTTCGAGCACCAGGCAGCCATCTACCACCACTAGGTGATCCTGAGGCCAATGGAGGGCACGCAGCTGGCCAGCCCTGGCCCCTCCTTGTAAGAGATGTTGCCTCCTTCATTAGTATGAGACAGACTGCCTGACTCTAGGGACATTCACAATTGTTAGAATTGCAGCTTTGTGAAATTGTGAGAGAGCAAGGGTGAATAAGCATTCGCTCCTCTTTGCTTGAGGCCATGGCCTTTCCTCACATGGCTTCTCTTCTTCATCTGGAGATGCTCAGACCCCGTGTTAGGGACCTTGTCTTCCTGTCTCTGAGTCTCTCCACCATGGAGCTCTGAGAAAATTGGATTTGGGGCCTCATCTTTATTCCTTAGACCTTGTGTGGAAGAGACTGTGATAGACTAGTCCCCTGTTCTCTCTGCCCCCTCAAGGTCTGCTGAACTCCCCGACCCCCTTTACTTGGAGGGCCTTAACTGAGTATTAATGCAATGAACATCTGTGTCACACTGGGGATTTTAAGAGTTCTTTCCTGTGCTTGGGTTCAATTAATCCTTACAACCAAATCAGTTTCTGTGACTGCTGTAATTATGATAAGCCCAAATTTCCTACAGAAAAACTGGGGCAGTTAAGGAACTTGCCCAAGGCCACACAGTGCAGATGTTGCAAAGCCCTCTCACCCATCTTCTGGTTTCAGATCTGCTTTTTCTCTACTGTATCAGGTCTCCTGATCGGTTGTCTCAAATTGAGCAAGAGGAAATTCTGAGATTCATGAGAAAGCAGAGATGCAGTCTCTGGGAGTGTCAGCTCCTTCATGGCTAACTTTGATTGGGCCCATTCACTGACTGAATTGTCTCTCAGAATCAAGGAGGTTCTCCCAGACAGACCAGGGTAACACTTCTTTGCAGAAGTGGATGGATGGATGGATGGATGGATGGATGGATGGATGGATGGATGGATGGGTAAGGATGGATAAGTAGACAAATGGTAGGTGAATGAATGAATTGAGAATATGGATTTGTAGTCAAGTGGATGGAGGGATGGATATATAAAGGCCAGAATAAGCAGCAGTCAGAGAATGTTTCAGAATGAGCCTGGGGATACAACTGTCTGAGAGACTAGAATGAGCTGAACTTCCAGTGTGTGTTATAGAAAAATCCATCATTTGACCTACAAGAAAGTACTATCTGCATCTAGAAATTTCCCTCCTTCTGAAGGAAGTCACAGTCAGACCTGAAGACACAGGACAGACTTGATGCTCAGAAAAACGTATCCAAACCTTACTTGCTCGAAGAAGCCAAGTCAGTAAAGCATTTCAGTGCAGCCTGACACCGTGAGCCGGGCGCATGCATTCAACAAGAGTGACTTCCAACCGTGGGAAAGTGTGCAGTTGTTTCTGGTTTTGAGGTCGAGTGTATCCCCCTGGTCTTTGATTTGCTCCTGAGCTTACACAGGACTCAAAGCCTCTTCATCACCTTTGAGTGCCCTCACCTAGTGCAGGTCTCAGCCTAAAGTAACCACAGAGCAGAGGTTTTTAAGATTACTAAAGAAAAATGAATAAATAAATAAATAATGAGTCGGACAATGGATAGGTGAATAAGTGAATGGGAATTAGGCAAGCCCCAAATTGCAAGGGGCTCAGACTGCCAGTGAAGGAAGTCATGAATTAATTGACCCTGATGCTTCTCTCGGGACTATGGGCAGATGTTATTACTAATGTGAGGATGATGCCTGCGATTTCCTTTAGAGCTCTCCATGTCGTCCTAAAGTGCAAGGCATTTTGTACCTGTGGAGGGCAGGTAAGTGGGGACTCATTCTTTCTGAAAAAGTTGAAAACAAAACAGAAACAGGTCCTTTGCTAAGCGCTTTAAGATGGAGAAGAAGAGGCATCAGCTCTGGGAGTAGAGAGGCTCCCCACCCACCTAGGATGTCTAAGTCATACACTTCTTGCTCTTGTCAATAAAGAGGTATCTCTGGCTCCAAGCAGAAGGACCACAGAGGAAGCCAAGTCAAGTGTGGCACAAATTTCTTCTCCATTTCCCCCTTTCAGTCATGGCCAGACCAGCAAATGGGCAAAGCCCTGGATGCACAGGTCTGAAACCCTGTGCTTCCTGGATATGACACAATGGAGAAGCCAGGAATGGGACCTGAAGCTGGGGAAAACTTTGGGGCTGAGAACCTCTCCTGAAAACACAGAGCACTACCTAAGGGGACTGTTAAGTTATTGGATTGGACAAAGGCTGAAACCAGAGTGGACATTTATTTGATTCTTTCTTCCTTCCACCAAGTGGGCCTTAAGGGATATTAAGTTAAATGGACAAAATGAAGAAACTCTATTTTCCCTGCATAACTAAGCTCCGTGAGGAAAATTTCAAACTCTGCTACACATTCTTCGATGTCCCTTTGTGTGGCACTTCTAGCTCCCTTTCAGACAGGATCTCAAGATCATGTATATGTGCATGGTATGCATGTGTGTGAGCATATAAGAGTGTGTGTGTGTGTGTGTGTGTGTGTGTGTGTGTGTGTGTGTGTGTGTGTACCAAGTGGTGAGTCAGTATGGTTACAATGAAAACAGTAGCAGAAGTTTACAGGTTGACAGTATCCACTCTCATTCTCATGTGACCTATGGCTAGGGATGGTGTTCCAGGGAAATCCCAAGGCTCTCTGTGCAGCAGGCTTGGTTGGGGAGCCAGAGCCACTTGCTTACCTGGTACTGCGGGAAGGTGGAGTGGTTGGAGAACACTGGTGGAGGCGGACAGTTCAGATTGACCCAGAGAGGCTGGTTCAGGGTGGTCGAGGTCAAGGCTGCGGTGAAGCGTGGGGCGAAAACATTCCCAGCATACTTAATATTGTTCTTGTCAGGCATCAATGCAGGAGGGTTAACTGCAAGTCACAGCAGGGTGGGGGAAGGGGAGGAGGGAAACAGCTAAGTGCTTGCAGTGAGGGGAGGCTGGTGCCTCTGTATGCATCCTGGGAATGCATACTCTCAGGGGTCAAGTCCTTTAAGCACCAGAAGGGTTCTTCCAAGTCCAGGAGCTTTCTAATTCCAGGAAACCATCATTATTGCACCGTTTGCTCATTTGGAAGGAAAGGCTTCTCTCTCCATCACTCACTGGTAAATGAGGCTGGTGTGCCAGGTATGCAGTAAACCACATTGCTCCATTTTTTTTTTTTTTTTTACGAGACAGGGTTTCTCTGTATTGTTTTGGAGGCTGTCGGTCCAGCCTGGCCTCGAACTCACAGAGATCCGCCTGCCTCTGCCTCCCGAGTGCTGGAACCACATTGCTAAGGCTGTGTTCCACCTACTTGCAAAACCGAACTCCAGCTCTATACAAACAAGTACAAAGCTGCTGCAAAGGATTTCTCTCTCATGATTAAATCTACCCCCATCAGACCTGGATACTGAGCAACACAACAGCTTTGTGCAGGTTGCTGTCTCTGTAGGGAATGGTTTTCTAAATATTTTAAAGATTTATTTTTCTTTCTCTTTATGTGTATGTGTATGGAAAGAGAGCAGGCTATCCGAACTCCTGAAGCTTGTGATTCACCCAAAGTGGGTGCTGGGGACCGAATTCTGGTCCTTTGGAAGAGCAGTAAGCACCGTTAACTATTAGTGTTTTCTCGAGTATTTAAAAACATGAAATAGTTGAGTGCAGGCTAACTTAATACTGTGTTCTAAAGCATGAGGCTGAATTGTTATTATGCATAAATACTGGATTCCTCTCTTCTACAGAGACACTCATGGACAATGGAGCCAGAAACACGCCCCTCCACAGCATTCTCTTTTGTTGATTTGTGTTTGGAAAGGGGTTTTGACTTTATGACTAAAGCAGTTGTAGGAGGACAAAGGAGAAGAAGCCAGGCCAGGCCATGGATAATCTCAGTGTGGAAATAATACAAAGCATGGATTTCTTTGTGGCCTGGGCAAACTTAGAAGCTGTAATATACCTCAGGTTGGGGCTATGGACCACATCAGTTGTTGTTTGTGCTTGTGGGATCTCTGAAAACCAATTACATTCCTCTAGCAATTGGATTCCCTTAGGGGATGCTGGGAGAAAATCGTTTCCTCCATTTTATGGAGTTAACAGTCCTGAAACCCCAGGGAAAATGGTGACTTGCCCATGGACAGAATGAGGTCCTGCTGCCTGGACGTGGGTACCTGAGGTTTCTGGGTACCCACCCAGGGAAGGTTCACTTACACTTCAGATCCAGCCCATCCATATCCACTTTGCTTCGAAGCCTCAGCTGCCCACCGGGGTTTTTGGTGGCCCCAAAGAACTCATACAGCAGGTTCTTCTCAGCCGGCCACACTGGCTTCTTGGTTGGCAGGGTCATGGAGATGGTGCCAATTGAGTCATTGTGACCCTCCTCACCACAGTTGTCCTTCCTGCTCTGGGGCCACTGGCTGATAAAGAGGCTCTCTCGTCCTTTGGTTAGCTCTTTGCTGCCAGGGGTTCGTTCTACAGAAATAGAGAAATTGAATCAAAGCCGCTGGGAAGCATATACTTCTTGTAGATTACTTTCTTCCAGCCCATAGCTCATACCGAGGTCTAGGTCATACTAGAGACTGTCTCAGTCAGGTGATTCCCAGACTCCTGTTGAGGTCTGCTCTCGTTGCTGCCCATTCTGACCTCCCTATCTTACACAGCCATTTCTCCATTCACTTCTCTGCTCATTCATGTGCCCATTGATCCATTCACCCACCTACTCAGCCCATCCATCCATGCATCCATGCATCCATCCATCCTGTCCATCCATCTTTCTATTTACTCATCAGTCCATTCATCTGTTCATTGGTTTATCCAGCCAACCACTTATCCATTTATTCATCTATTTATTCCATCTATCTTTCTATCCATCCATCCACTCATCTCTCTATTCATTCATCTGTCCTTTTGTGTATCTACTCATCTATCCATGTTTTTTTCTTTCTTAGATAGGACCTCACTGTGTAGCCCTGGTTGACCTCAGATTCACTATGTAAACCAGGGCCTCAAGGTCACAGAGATCTTGCTTGTCTCTGCTTCCCAAGTGCAGAGATCACAGGTGTGCTCCGTGATGCCTGCCCATTCATTTTCATTCTTCCCTTCCTCCTTCCCTTCTTTTCTTCCTTCTTCCACCTCTTCCCCCCTCCCTTCTTTCCATCCATAGTGCCAGGCTACGGATATGAGGTAGCTTGGATGTGGTTTGGTCATGAGGGAGCACATGGTTTTGGTAAAGAAGCACACGTCCCTACAGAACACAGAGTTGAGCCATGCTGCTTAGTCCCTCACCAAGAACTTCACCTCCGCTGTGATTCTCACAGGCGATTCAGCTCTCCCATCAGCACCAGGCCTTGGCCTGAGTACTGGGGACACAGTGATGAGTCAGAGCCAGGCTGCCCTGCAGGAGTTCACAGAAGGAAGAGGGAGATGTGTCCAGAAATAGTTCTAGGACAAGGCAGATGGGCACCATGAGGTGACAGGGACAAAATGGGAGAAGACACTGGCTGGGATCTCGTCTGTCTGAGAGGATCCTTCAACTAAGAAGGAAAGGTTTAGCAAGACTCTCATTTGGAGCCATCAGGAAGGTGTCACAGGCCTGGGCAACTACAATACCAGGAAACATCAAAGGGACAAAGTGAGTCATCATACATGACTGGAGTGTACAGAAAGGACTCAGCGGGGGCCAGACTCAGGTCTCACTGCAAATATGGTGAGCATCCATCCCTTGCAGAAGGACACTCTGACACATGTGACACCTCTGCAGAGCTCTCACCCACATTTCCCCTCAGTGTTGTCACTTTCTTCACAAATGGAGTGTGTGTGTGTGTGTGTGTGTGTGTGTGTGTAATAGTGGATGCGAAACATTCCAAGAAAGAACTTCACCCTTACTGAAAATATACAAAATTTCTTGCCATCATTCCCTAAACAACATGCTGTAACCACCATTTACACAACACTGGCATTGGATCAGGCACCATTAGCAATCTATAGATAGCTTACAGTGTGTAGGAGGAATGCATAGGTTGTAAGCCATTATGAGCATCTGTGGACTGGGTATTAGAGGGGTTCCTGGGACCAAGAACTAGAGAGACAGATTTATAAATGTGTATACACATAAGTTATACATTGTATAACATATACATATACTCACACATGGATATAATTATTATTAAAGCATTTCTCTGTTAGAAGAGCGTGGGCTTTGCCCTCTGCCCTTCATTCTTTCCTCAGACTGGATGTCTCTGAAAGCCTCCACAGAGTTTGGCTGAGAAGCCCATGTGCATGCAGGCAGGGGGATGGCTCTGTGCTGCTCTGATAGGCTTCAGCCGTGACCTATGGCAGTGGACATGAAGCTACCACATCACAGACCCCTGTCACCCCCTCCAGCAGCCCTGAGAGCTTCTACATAGACCTGGACCTTACCTTCTCAGCAAAGGCAAACACTGCTCTAGCCAGGGCCAATTTAGGAGACTATGACAATTTTAGCAGAACATGTCCCCAGAGTCTCTTCCAGGAGTTCCTCTGGTTGCTGAGTTTAGCCTCCAGCTAGAATGCTGAAATAACATACCCACTAATAATAGTCATTTTCCCCCAGAGACTGCCATATTTACAGCCGCTCTCCCATCTACAGTCAGTCAGATCTGGGCGCTCTCTCTCTCTCTCTCTCTCTCTCTCTCTCTCTCTCTCTCTCTCTCTCTCTCTCTCTCTCTCTCTCTCTCCCTCCCTCCCTTGCTTCCTCCATCCCTCCCTCCTCCCTCCCTCCCCTCTTCCTCCCTCTCCCTCACTCTGTCTCCCTCTCACACACATGTACACACACACACATGTGTACACACACCTATATTACCTTCTGTCTCATAACTATACAGACACACACATGACAAACACACTCACTAGTACACATGCAGGCCCCCTCAGACGGGCCACCCCTATGCTTTCCCTAACGAATGTGCTCACCCTGCACAAAGCTCCCTCTGGCATACCTTGCCTACAGGTTTGTATACAAAGGCACTTTCTGAGTGTGGGGAGGGGAAACGGACAAGATATCCCCAATCTGCAGCCCCTTCAGCAAGGAACATGAAGGGTCACCCCTAAGAGGAGAGGGTAGTTCCCTCCCTGGGGGGAAGCTCAAGCCCCTCCCACCCATAGACATCATCCCAAAGCCTTGTGACCCCTCCAGGCCTGCTGGTCACTGAGTCCAGCTTGTCATCTCAGCTCTGATTTCCTGGGGTCCCATAAGTGCTCCAGAATATAGAATGCTCTGGAAAGTCACCTTGTGGATTTGGGCCCTCCCAGAGCAGGCACTGTCAGTTAACCACCACGCTTCAACCTGGGAGTGACCTTTCTTTTGGTTGTTCTCCAAGGAGCTGGGGCTGTGGGCAAATGGCTCTGCCATCCAGTCTGAGCATACACAATGCAGAATCCCAGGAAGGAGTAGGACGCATGGGGAAGGGGGCTGAGTTTCCTGGGAAGAGTGTGGAGTCCCCATTCAAGTGTTGAAAATACACTTAGCTAAGCCTCTAGAGTCCCAGGGAACAAATCCCAGGACCAACAATTTGAACTGTTCCTGAATAACTTAAGGCCTAGAGAGAGTGGTCCTGATGACCAGTGTGGGTACCTCCATTAGAAGTTAAGTACCCCTAGCTGCCAATCAATTTTCTCTCCTAGCCCAGACCCCAGTCTGGGATATTACCTTATAAGGTAGAAGTACCTAGGAAATTCAGAAATGACACCTCTTCCAGGACCCAGAAAGATGCTAAGTTAGTGAAATGTTTGTCACAGCAGCCTGAGAACCTGGGGTTGGATTTCCAGCATCTATATAAAAAGCTGTATGTGGTGGCATGTGGCTGTAATCCTAGTCTTGGGGAGGCAAAGGCAAGATCTCTAGAACCCACTGGTAAGCTACTCTAGCTCAGAGGGTTACATGTCCCAATCCCAGGAAATAAGATGGAGAGCCACAGAGGAAGTACCACACACACACACACACACACACACACACACACACACACACACACACAGAGAGAGAGAGAGAGAGAGAGAGAGAGAGACAGACAGACAGACAGACAGACAGACAGACAGACTCTGCATTCTTTTGCTTTGCACCAAGATGCACTATGACCTTGATCAGCTTTTCTGATCAAGGCCCTCCTTCCTGGAAACTCCCTCACTTCCCTGCTCCCAGGCCCACTCACCAATCCAGTGGTGGCCATCAAGAGTGGGGTCAGCCTCATTCTTGGAGCAGATCTTGGCAAACACTGGAAGCTGCCTTTTCGGAGGAGAGAACTCAGGGAGCTTGTCAGTGGGTGCAGGAGGAGGTGGGGGTGGCAGCAGCAGGAATGGGCCCAGTCCCATGGACTCCCGGGGTCCAGAGCCATTGAACATGCTATTCTGCAGGAAATCTTTAATGACCTTGGTCTCTTCCAGCACCATCTTGTTGTCAGGGGCCTTGGACATTTCGGTAGACTTCAGCGGGAACTGGGCCAGGAGCTTGCTGATCTCTGAATTAGAGGCACTCAGGCTATGGCTCTTGTCCTTTGTTCCCTTGACACTCTTGACCTTGGCGGCACGGAGGATGCCTGTGACTGTAGACATGGCAGAGTCACAGTCCTGCCTGCTACTGATGATGGGCACAGACAGCTTCTGCTCCCGAAGCTTGTCATCAGCTGTTACAGAGGATCCTGGGTATTCAGTGCTGTCTGTCCCCAGAGGAGGCACAATAAAGCAGGGAGTCAGCTCCCGGGTCCCCTGGGGAGTGACAATAGGTGTTGCCAACTCCCCAGAGCCTTCTTGGACCAAGATGAGATGTTCTTTGGTGAGACTCAAGAACTCCTGCTCCACCAGCAGGGAGATCTCATCCTTGCCCCCGCTCAGCTCCAGAGCTCTGCAAAAGGTTCAAAGACACGATGGAGTTAGTGCTCTCATCCACCATTGGCTCTGCCAGCAGGATGCAGGCCTCGGGGAAAGAAGGTGAGGCCACAACCTACTGAAAACTCCTTTCCTAATGCTTTCTCAAGAGGGAAAAATGGACCAGGTGGGCACAAACCCTCTAGCACCTGCTAGGCTATAGCATTGAATATGTCTGTCCCTTCCTCCTCAGGTCCCAAGGCAACAAATAGCAGAGATATAGTTCACTGGAGAAATTTGCCCAGCAGCAAAGGGGCTGGCTGCGACTAGGCAGTTCAAAGAACAAGATCTGGATCCAGGAATACAATACAGCAAGTCCCCTCTTGCAGGCTGGTGGAGTGCACAATAAGACTCCCCCCATCTGTGTAACTTTCAATGTGTGTGACCCCGAGCAAGTTGTTCAGCATCTCAGATACTCCAATATCCTGTGTGATCCCCAGGAATATCACAGAGGGGTGTTTGAATAGTGCAGACACTCTGTCATAGGGTCACACACCTGTCAGCACTTACGTCCGCATAGCTCAGGCTCATAGTCTGACCTGACCTCGAACCCTGGATTCCACAGTGTGACCATCTGGACAGCTGTATTTACTCTTGCTGTCATGGCCTCTGATGGGGATATGGCATCTGATTGGAACATTATTGTGGATGACAACAGCACTTGGCTGGAACCTGAACCAGTTCATAAGGCTCTTCCCTGTCCCTATGTTCCCCTGTCCCCCTGTCCCTGATTTCCATTAGTGATCTAGAATCCAACAGCTAGATAGTGCTTGATGAGCCAATGAGTTCCTAGCTGCTGGTTACTGGTTCTCCTCAGGTGAGGGAGAAGGTGGTAACCCTACACTCTCAACTACCCCCCAGCACCCTTGGTGAGGGGGCACCTTCCTCCACTGCATTCCCAGGGGAGCCAGGGTCCCCCAGCTTAGAAGCACCTGTTATGCATAAACGGAGGTTCCTGGGAAAGATAGATAGAGTTGCCTATGCCTAGAACATTCTGGAAACTGCTTCAGCGGCCACTCAAGGCACACAAAGAGGAAAAATGGTTAAGAAACAGAGGGAAAAAATAAAAGGGATACACAAGTGGGGCTCAGCTGCTGCAGCTTCGCTGTGAGCAAACCGAAGCATGGTCTGTCTGACAAGCCACTCTCCACTAGGAAGGCACACGAAAACCCAAAACAGTGTCCATGGCATGTCCCTGCCTCCCTGGAAGTACTGTTTGCTTTTGAGGGCACACACACGCACGCGCACACACACACACACACACACACACACACACGCCCATCACCACTGAATCTTCAAAAGTGGCAGGCTTCTTTTTTCCCTAATGTCTCTTTGGCTGTTTGTACCTGTGCATGCCTGTGAGTATGTATGAACTGTGAGTGTGTGTGTGTGTGCATGTGGCATGTGTGTGTGTGTGGTGGGGGTTTATGTGTGCTCTTGTATGTGTTGAAGCCAGAGGTCAACTTTAATTATCTTCCTCAGGGACATTGCTCACAGTGTCTCTCACTGGCCTAGAGTTCATCAACCAGTTGACCAGTAATCCTCCAGTCTCTATCTCCTTAGAGATGGGATTACAAATACATACCACTATACCTGCCATTTTTTTTTTTTGGTTTTTTACGAGACAGGGTTTCTCTGTATTGTTTTGGAGGCTGTCGGTCCAGCCTGGCCTCGAACTCAAAGAGATCCACCTGCCTCTGCCTCCCAAGTGCTGGGATTAAAGGCGTGCGCCACCACCACCTGGCTTATACCTGCCATTTTTATGTGGGTTCTGGGAATTGAATTTTGGACCTTACACTTTAAGGCAAGAACTTGAATGATGAAGTCATCCCCTATGCCCCCCACAAAAACACCTTCTAAAAGACATTGATGTCCCTATATCAAAACATCCTAAGCATAATCCCTACTTGGCACCCAACTGACACTCTTGTCATTCTCAGCCTGAAAGAAGATGATGGAAAAAGACCCGTGGGTGCTGAATGGGTAAATCCTGTGCTGTCCCTTAGTTCTCCTGAAAGGCTTGTTTTCCCAAATCTGTCAGGCCACACCCTCTTCTCAGGGTTAAAGACTATGAAGATATTGTGAAGTAGGTAAGTTGGGCAAGGACGTAGCACAAGCCTGGTACATAGCAAACCAAATGCTTGTGTTTCTATCAGTGGTTAGATCTGCACAAAGACACCCCAGGCCACCTCTGCATAGCCTGCCATTGCCACCAGACTGCTGAGGATACCTGGAACAATTCAAACCTGGCTCGTGCAGCTCACGCCTCTCTGGATTCTCTGTCAAGGCCAATGGGGTTGTTACCTAAGATAGAGGTGGTCACTCTGCCTATGAGTTCTCTGGGTACCTTCCTCAAAGACCGACCAAGGCATCTTTTATTATGAATCTACCACAAGCCGAAAGGGAGGCCAGGTATCAATGTCCATGTTCACAGGCCATCCCTTGCACATCCCTGGACACCTGACAGTATCATCTCCATTTCACAGATAGGAACAGTTTTCCTTTGAAAGACGGAGGACCTTGTCACCATACTGGGAAGGAGGCTGATGTGGGGGGACACAGCTGGTCCAGTTCCTATACTCACTCCTCCAGCCTTAGCCAGCCTTCTTTCTGGAGAGTCCCTCCACCAAAGTCCCCTAGCTCTTGCCTGGGCCTTGTTCACCAATCTGAATGCAATCAGTGATGTTGCCACTTTCATCCTGTAATGCCAGCCCTTGGAGGATCAGCACAGTGAATCTTGAGCCTGCCATCTGTGGCATTAGCCATCTCTGACAGCTACATGTCAGCTGCATGTCTGATGAGCATGTCTTCTGAGTCTTCCACCCGTTCACAGTTAGAAATGTCTAACCAGAGACGAGGCCAGGGCAAGGCCATGGGGACACTGCCAAAGACCCTACTTCCAGCATGACAGTAATCCTGTATCAACACGCGGGGAAAATTAAACAACCTGATAGCATCCATGCCTCCGTGAAAACCTTCATCAAACACCCCGCAGTGATCACACACCCGAAAGTCCTTAATCTCTGACTTCCCCGCCTCCTTAGCCCCCTCTATCCCCAAGAAAATAAGATCTGCTTGTTCTTGTTTGTTTTAGAAAACTCCATGGCCACAGAGCAGGGACATTCTCAGAACTAAGATCAAGCAATTCCCTTGCTTAAAACCACCTTGTGGATTCTCATTACTCACAGGATAAAATCCAAACCCCTTTATGATCCCTGGGACACTACGCAAATTGGCCCCATCTCCCTGTCCTTCCATCACGTTGATCTTTTATCCATTCCTTGAAATGCCAAGCTCATTTCTGTGACAAAGGGCCCTTGCATTTCCTGTAGAGTGAATGCTCTGGGCACCCCCTGGATTGCTCCTTACCTGGCTGCTGGCAACATTCAGGTGTCAATTCAGATGCCATAGTCTCTAGGTGGCCTTTTCTATCTGATTTTTAAAGAAATGTTCCTCCTTCTTTTGCTAGGCATACTCTGTGGGGGTCTCTGTATCAGTCTGTTTCCTTCATGCCATCTGCCTCTATCTAGTGTTTATTATTATTATTATTAAAAAGATGTTACTTGCCATCATATGCACACCATGAAGACAGGGACTCTATCCTGTTCATCCCAGAGGCCTTGGAGCAGCTGGAAGTAGGGTCTTTGGCAGTGTCCCCATGGCCTTGCACTGGGCACTAAGTTCCAGCTAGGCAAGGATTTGTTGACTAAATGAAAGAAGGAACTCTCTCATCTCTGTTGCCTGCTGTATGCTTCTCATCCCCTCTCCTGCCCAAGAGCTGTACCAGCTTCTTCTGCTTGTTGCAACCTGCCTGGCTTTGCACTCAGTTCTGGTCTGGCATCCCCTTAGGTGCTGATCAGAAGACCCCCCCCACCCCTGCTCCTGCTTAGCCTGATTCCTGGTAGGCACAGGTGGAGGCCTTTCATCAGCTGACCATACTCCCTGACTGCTGTGGGGATTGGAGGTGCAAACCCTCAGGGAGTCAACACTACTCTCAGCAGTCAGCTGGGGTTTCATGGGAACATTTTCTAAGCACCACCTAACTTTGCAAAGTTCAAAGATAAGCACACATTTGCACACATTTCCTAGAATACAACAGGAAATTGTGTGTGTGTGTGTGTGTGTGTGTGTGTGTGTGAGAGAGAGAGAGAGAGAGAGAGAGAGAGAGAGATGTTTTTCTAGTTATGCATGTGTATGACCCCTGTGCATATCATCAATGCACCGGTCTACATTCGATGTTTTCCTTGGTAACTTTCCATGATTTTTGTTTGTTTGTTTGTTTTTGAAGCGGGGTCTCTCACTGAACTCAGAGCTCATCAGTTTGGCTAAGTGGACTGTTCCATGAGCTTGGGGAATCTGCCTGCCCCTGCCCTCACCCCCAGCACTGAGATTACAGATGTGCATTGCCACACCTAGCATTTGTTTGAGTGCCAGGGATCTGAACTCAGGTCCTTGTGCTCTCACAGAGCACTTTACCCATGGGACCATCTCAACAGCCCCTAGGTTTTCCCCCTGAGTTTTGCAAGTCTTGGCACCCCTCCACTGGTGTTCCCTTTCTCCTTTAAGTTGATAAACGTCATAACATCTATCAGACTGTATCTAGTGAATCAGTCCAGGAAGGCAGCCTAGCTCCTGGGCTCCTGACAAAGGAATCAAAGTCAAAAGCCATGTCAAGGTTCTGGGACTCCAGGTCTGTGCTGGCCCCTCTGCTTTACCAACCTCTGAAAATCACAATTACATGCTTGAGGCTCTGATCCTGTGTTATTTCTGCATTTGCAATGTACAGAATTGTGTAAAAATAAAGGCTACTGACTGACTGGCACCCCTTCCCAGAATAATGACTAAGTAAGCATGTTGTTAGCTCCCCAGCAGCAGTTCTGTGTACATGATATCACACAGCAAAGATGAAAACTGCTACTTGGCTGAGCCAAACAACAGAAAAATGCAAGCAGGAAATTGTTAGCACCAAAGGAGGAC